GAAGAAAGGAATTTATATTTATTATTTTATTATGTTATTGTTGTAGCTCTTCTGGCTCTTGATGCTTAAGAGCTCGGGAGCTGACACTAATAATGACGTACAATTGCTTCCCATATAATATGGTTTTATGAATTCATCCTAATCCATTACAAATATCCTTCCCATTTACTACTTCACTTTCCTTATTCATAGTTCACTAATGTTCACTACTTAAATCAGCCCAAAATCTTCATTTGCACTATTCGTGACCATTTGTTTCTGTATATAAGGGTACGTTTGGTAGCAATTATTTTTGTTGATTATTTTGCAAAATAATTGCTGTTGAAAAAATATGTTTGGGACCATTTATGGTGCCCCAAAATAAACTCCTTCCCTGTCCCAAAAGGAGTTTAAAAGGGTCCTTTTGATAAACAACAAAAGGGAGTTTAGTCATGCGATAAACTCCTTTCTGGACTTAACAAAATTTCATCTCAACAGACTTCGACCAGCTTCAACCTTCCTTGGTGTCATAGCAAGCAAACCAGATGCTGTTTCTTCAACTCGATCAACACCTTCAACACTACACCATCACACTCAACACTTACCAGGTAATCTTCACTTCTACTTCTAGCTCCTAGCTGCCTCAAATCTATCTTCTGTTTCTCAAATATGAATATGGAACTGAATCTAATTCTGATTGCTTTGGTGTCAAAAGTTACTATCTATTGTGTTGCACAATGAAAACTTGAAACCCATCTTTCTTTGTAGATTCAAGTTATCAATTGTTCAATTTGTGGTTGATTGTGCAATTTCAATCAATCAGTCATGTCAATTGATTGGTCAATTCCAATCAAATGTTCAAAATCAATCATTCATTCAACCTTGATCAATTGTAGAACATCAAAAGATACAAAAACAGATAACTCTTAAAAGATGAAATACATAGAAAGTGGAGGAGAGTGTTGAATTTTGATTGATGATTTAGTTCCAGTCAGTTGTTCAATTTCACCTGTTCCATTCCAGTCATTTGTTCAACATCGACTTTGATTGAAACTTTTGCACTGCCAACATATTTGCCTCGGATAGCAAAATCCGAGGAGTCCTCGGATTTTGTATCCGAGGTGTCATTCGACTTATATCATCCGACACACCACCGACCTTTCCAAGCGACATTAATGAACCGACATAAAGGATCCGACGATGAGTCGAGGAAAATCTCCACCGAGATAATCATCCGACCCAATCAAACCGACTCTTCACCGACCCATTGACCTCATCCGACCCAATACCACCGAGCCATTAAGTAGCCGATGATTTCGATCTCCGCGATATCAAGGGAGGGAAATTCAATATCAAGTCGAATTTCATACTCACTTGGCTCGGAAGGAACAGTTTTAACCGACCCAATCCTGCCTTCATCCAAACCTTTAGTTCTCATATCCAACTCAATCCATCTCTCCACTGACCCAACACTCACAAGTCCATCTTTCTCCGAGTTCATCATTTAGAAACTTTGCGAAATAATCATTTCTAGAGAAGCTTTCAATTCTCGGCTTGAACTTCAAACTCAATCACCTTCAAATTGAATCATTCAGAGTCGAGAACAACAACAACAAGATGATGCTGAGATCAAAAATAAAAAATCGAATCAACTTTCTAAAACTATTGATGAAGCTAGTCTGATCTTATGATCGCACCACCTTGGATTCTTATCTAGTCGTTCTACAGATCAATTACTTACTTTATCTGCTATAACTCATTTTCATCAAACTATTTTGAAATGTAATCATCTTGATCCTCATTCTTTAGCTCAACTCAAAATCAATTCTGAAGAAGCTCGTAAACAAATCAATAAATCTTATCATCTTGATAGAATCAGTTTGGAATCTCATCCTGATTTGCCAAAGGCTATCGTAGGTAAATTACGGAAAGGTAAACTGTACAAACATAGTTTGATCAAGTTCCTTCCAAACGATCGACAATCAGTTATTTAACCCCAACCATCAGTCATCATATCAAGTCATATGGTATACCATACCACACCATAAATCAACAAGTTCTATCGTACAAAAGATAACAAATCTACCACCATCTTGATATCCATTTACCATCCTATCAATCCACACATTCAATATCTATCATGGTCGGTTTGTCATAACTTATACACACAATCGCTCTTTTATTGATTTGACTTTCGTGATATTCCCTTTAGCCTCTTAAAGTAGCTGTTTTGGGTGCTGCCGGTGGGCAGTTTATGTTCCAACACTGGATAAGCTGCGCTGCAACACGCTGCATGCCAGTACCAGCCTGGCGCGGCGTTTTGTTTATACCATCAGTTGTGTTGATGTTGCAGCGCAGCTCTTCAAGAAAACACCAGAATCCCCAAGGTCCGCAGCGTAACTTTGAAGAGCAACACTTCAAGTGCTGAACGCTGCGCAACACGCGTGGAAGCAAAAGCTGCACTGTACATTGCACAAATTGAAATTTTTCAAAAACGATCAATGAAGCTTATCATCACAGTCATCATCTCAACTCCAGCATCACCATCATCGTGTTCTCATATCAAAAAAAAGAAACTAGGATTACAACATGAGCAAATCAATCATCAATTGAACTAGAAACTCATTTTTAACAACTTATGATAATCTATTGAACTCTACGATCAAATCAAACCAACAATGATTCAAAATTGAGCTTATCTACCTATCCATCATGAAACCAATTATTGATTAATTTTTGCAATTGAGTTTGTAAAATCTCAATCTCAACTTCGACTCAATGGTAAGTCAGTCTTTCATTTTATCAAACCTTTCAATCTATTATACTGATGATCTCTTTCATATCAACCCCAGCCACCATGATCTTGATCGGATCGATCCCAAAAATCTCAGATTTAGAATCTCATCCACCAATCAATATCAAATTGATTTTGAACTTCTTCATCAATTTGCTTTGGCTCTTAATCTTTTCCAAGGTCTTCTTTGCTTACATCTTCCATGTCAAAAGACATTCTCATCTCAATCCAACTCACAGGTTTGTTAGCATTCCAGACTCAATATCGTTTGCTGTAATGTTGAACTCCTAACATAAATTTTGTTTGCTACGTTTTTCAGATCCTTCTTGGGTTCCTTTTGCCTTCTTTAGAGATTCATGAATTACAATTGATTACAATCCCATTACTCAATCCACTTTCAATCATCTTAACAGATTTGAGCTTAAGTCAAGAACTTCTTGAATCATCAGGTGGACTTTGATTTTTAATTAAAGCAATGAAAAATAAGCAAATTCAAAAAGAACCTCATGTTGAAGTTCTTGAAACTGTTTGGGAGTGGTTTAGCATGTGCCACATGCCAAAAGCGTATATTATGCACATGTACTGGTAGGTTGACAGTAATTTGGGATCTGGCCCCGCTGCAACCGTTTCATCAGCGGTCCTGAGCGCTACATCTGCTGTAGCGCTGCTCCAGAAAAAAACATGTTTTTAAGGGATAGGAAGCTTTGCTCCTTATCCCTACTGAAGCGCTGCACTGCAAAGCAGCGCAGATTGCTGTAAAAACTGCAACAACGTGCTGCGCATCAGCAACCAACAGTGTTGCTTACCCAGTGTAACTTTAAGTTGATGTCCTAAAATCTAGCCTTCCATGCCAATCAATTGGCTGAATAGCTTCATTTCTTTTCAATCTGATCTCAGGCATTGGTCAGCCCTTGTCACTGTTACTCAAGGTGAGATTTTGAATTCAAGAAGTTATGATGAGACAAGTTCAATAGACTAACCAATTGGATTATGTTTTAGAAACCCTCATATTGCTGAATTGGCATTATTCAATGTGGACACTATGGTAAAGGGAGTGGCGGTAGATGTAAGTATGACATCATCCAGTCATAATCTCAATCACGTCAATGCAGACAAAAGTTGACAAATGGAATGTTTAAAACAGATTTCCCGTATCAATACCCCTAGCACAGTTTGTGGTTACTCTGTGGATGACAAAGGACTATCGAAAGCTCTCAAAGGAGCCAAATTGGTTGTCATCCCTGCAGGTGTACCCTGAAAGCCTGGAATGACGCAAGATGATCTTTTAAATGTTAGTCTCTTTCTGATTCTCAAAAACTTACCTGCATTCATATTATCTTATCCATGTCTCTTTGCTAGATCGATGCAGGGAATGTAAGAGTCCGTTCGGTTGCCTCCGACCTCGCAGGTCGACCCAGCCAAAATCTCAGGCGTACGCTTTGAGGCAGTTTGAAGCGTACACTTGAAATTCTGCTGTTTGGTACAGAAGCCGCGGTCAACCTTTGAGGCGTCTACCTCGAGGTCGGCCAGCCAAATTTGTTGACCAGCCAGGTTTGACGTTTTGGTCGAATCTTGCAGGTTGACCTGGCTAGTCCCATAGACCTGAAACCAGGAGCGCGACATCAGATTTTGCAAAGGGAGAAAACCCATAAGTTGCGAGGTCCACTACACTTCAAGTCGAGTGTACCGAATGCACCAAACCCTGGTACACACTTTGTGGCAGACATGGTCTACCTGCGGATCCGCAGGTAGACGCCTCGCAAGTCTACGCCTGCAAGGTCGAAGGCAGCCGAACGGACTCTAAGAGACTTGGCCAATGGAATGGTGGCTCATTGTCCAAAGGCTTTTATCCTGGTGATTTCTAACCCAGTGAATTCAAATGTTCCGGTTGTGGCTGAAGTCTTCAAGAAGGCTGGTGTCTTTGATCCTGAGAAGTAAGACTTGTCTCATGAACCAATGAAAAATTTGGAAATCTCTAATTTTGAAGACACATAAATTCTAGATTGTTTGGTGATACTACACTTGGTGTAGTAAGAGCATTGGCCTTCACAGCTGAAGTAGCTGGTCAACCTGAAAACTCACACCAATACAAGGTCCCAGTGATTGGCGGTCATTTGGGTCACATGATCTTACCACTCTTATCGCAATCTTCTCCATCCCTACCATCATCTATCTTATCAGATAAAACCAAACTTGGAACTTATCAATTGAATCCAATTTGGTGGGGATGAAGTCGTCGAAAGAAGGGAAAGGTAGTGCTACCTTGAGTATGGCTTACGCTGGTTTCCGATTTGCCAACAGTTTAATCAAAGATAAATGGGAAGGAAAGACTGGAGTGACAGAGATGGCTTACATCGCTGTTCAATCTGAAGCTCATATTTCTAGTGTGGTTGAGGGACTTGAGTATTTTGCATTTCCAATTGAACTTGGAGTAAGTAAAAATCAATTGACGACTCAAACCTCAAAATTCATGAAAATTCACTGATGATGACTTTGGCTCATAGAGCAATGGGGTTGAAAAATTCTTGCCAATCATAAACCTTTCTTCTCTTGAAAAATAAATGCTTGAAACTTGCATTGCTGAACTTAAGGGTAACATCTCCAAGGTAGCTTTACATCAAATCAACTTTTTTTGTCAAATTGTTACCTGTTGTTTACTTTTTCATCATTTTTCACAGGGTGTTGGCTTTATCAACAAGCTCTAAATTGGGTTTTCTTCCCGGATGTTTTTGGAAGATTGAATCTTGATTTGAAGTTGTGTAAGAATGATTACAAAAGTTGAATGAATTCAAAGGAACATGATTATGTGTGTAGGATATTGAAAAATTGTTTTGATTGCGTGTTTTCAAAAAAGAGAAATGTAAAAAAATTTAAAAGATGATGATGACTGAAATGAATTGGTTCTTAAAACTGGGATGAAAGATGAATCATGGGAAATTTCTATATGTAATCTAACAAACTCTCTCAGCAAGTGAGCCTACAAGAGAAGGACTTATGAGTTATCCACATAATTTGGGGTGTGAGCAAGGAACTTTTGGCTGGGGGGTCTTTCTGTTACGGCTCGGCCTGGCTGGGCATCGGGGATGACCAGGCGCCAAGCCTATCCTCACCTTCTTTCGGTTTAGACCAGGTGGAATGTTTAGGAAGATAGTGATCCATCCTGGTTTCACTTTCTTCCGATATGTCATTGTTGTAATGCCTTGTGAAACATGTTTTGTATAAGAGTTGTGTTTCTTGTCCCTTGTCACATTTCTCACTTGTTTCAATAGATCATTACCAACGCTAGTTGTTTGTCCGCAATCCCCCTCTACACTTTCAACCTGCCATAACTTTTTACCCTACAGATAAACAGTCTTATGATCAAAGCAGGTCCTGTGTGCCTGCTCAACCTGCATACATTCAGATGGCTGAATGCATATTTGATGCAATGATCGCAGAGAAATGGAAGACTGAAGCAGTACCAGGACTGCTCCGCAAGATTGAGCAGTGTTGGAGTGGTATCTGAGCGGTCTTGGCACCACTACATTCACCACTATCTATAGCGGTGGGACTGCTTTGGAATCAATTAAAAAAAACCGTGGCGGACCCGCCGCTCAGCACTGCCAACATATTTGAATTGGACACCAAAATCCCAAAATCCAAGGAGTCCTTGGATTTTGTGTGCAAGATTTCAACCAAGTTATGTCAACCAACATAACATCAACTTGATCAGACCAAGTTGATCATCCAACGGTTGACCAAGGCTATCCCAAACCAATATTATTGTCTGATTGAATCTAGCCAACAAATCAGCAACCCAATTGTCTCATCTGAATCAACCCCACCAACTCATCAACTGACCAAGAATTTTGGGTTCCCAATTATGAAGGTAAGGATATTCATTATTTGGTCAAATTCAATAGTCACTTATCTCGCAACCAATAGTTCCAACTGACTGAATGCCCCTTTTAACCAAAGTGTTATAGATCCAATGCAACCAAATCCATCTCTCCCCCAACCCAAAAAGATACATCACTTGAATTTAAATTAGATTCAGATCATCAATCAAACACTATCACTACTACTAGAAACACTGAATACAGCAGGGGCAGACCTTGAGAGTAATACTGAAGACAAACCGGCTTCCACTCCCAAAGAGGACTGAGTACTCATCACTACCTTACCTAGACCTTCACTCACAACCTGGCCAACCTATTTCTCAGAAATCATTGTGCCGATGCAATACCCACGAAAACCAAAAGACTAGGACTCTGTCAAGTTTGTAAATGAGCAAACAAGCAAGGTTGAGTCTTTATGCGCCTAATCCGTCATTTGTTCCTAGCCGCTCCTGATATTTTGCCTCTTCTCTATTGTGTGGTCACAAAAATCAGCCCATATGACTGCCGTCCAACTCCCATATGGACCAAAAGCCTACTTCAGACTCATGAGTATAGTGCCCAGTAAAGCTATCCCGGGAAAGGCTAAACCAACTTCCCACTCACCCAAACTTGCAAGTTAAAAAAATGCTTAAGACAGGAAATTGCTAGACAACGCCTACACAAAGCGCCCGGGTAGCATTCTGATTTTTAAGTGACAAAAGCTGGGTTACAAGTATGTTTTTTGAGTTAAAAAACCCCATTGTTTGGGTTACATGTATGTTTTTCAAGTTGCAAAAACCATTGTTTGGGTTGCGAGTATGTCATTCTGAAGTTGATGACTCTTTTGAGATATGGACAGAGGATTGGTGGAAAGTGTGATGGAAGATATGATCTTGGTTTGTAGTACAGATGATCAATCAACAAAGAAAGGAGCTCAACATGGACACATTGGAATTTGATTGTGTGCAAGGAAGAGTACAGCTCAAGGGAAACCTCTGAACCAGATGTGAACCAGATGTGAATGAAATCGGTGATTGAGAAAAGTTGCAGACTTGGACACCACAAATATGCTCAATTGGGTTTTGAACTTGATTATACAATACAAAACAACACAACACAAGACAAGACAAGACAAGACATATTTTATATACATACCACCCCCTTTGGTAACAAAAGTTGCATAATGTTACATATGCAACTTTTACATCACGGTGAGAAATTTTCTCTCCGTGTATGTATATGTAAAATCACACCCTTGTGTGCCTTTGAAAACCTTTGGTAACCAAAAGAAAATGAGAACGGTGATCATTCAACCACATATCACAATGATCACTTGTTGTTTGGTAAACAAGGTCACGAGCTCATCAACTTGATGAGCTCCTGCCTCTTCCACTTTGTACTAAACCTTTCTGTTTGCTTTTAGATGTAATAAGATAAATCCAGTCAACTTCATTCAATGATGATTGTACTCAGGCTCTTCAGCGCTGGAGAAATCAATGCCGCCAAGTAATATATTTCCATGCATGTTGATAACGCTATGGTTTTATTGATCGGATTTGAAACAAAAACAATCGAACTTGAGATTGGGCTTGAGGTCATATGATGAGTTGAATGGTTTGTGACGTGAGAAAAAGATTTTTTTTTAAAATATTTGAAACATTTTTTTTGGTGAAGTACGAAAAAAGACAAAGTGATATGTTTGGAAGGGTTGAGAAGAAAGAGATTTGAAGAGATACAAGTTGAAATTGGATAAAGAACACAATTGAAAGTTGTTTTGGAGAATATTAATGATTTTTACATATATATGTCAAAATATGTATATGTCTTTTGTTGTACTTTGTTTTACCAAATTGGTTTTCTGGGTCATATATACAGCCAAAATTTGATACGTCTTTTTGGTGAGACACAGTCGGTCACATACGTTACATATGTGTTACCGAAGTGGGTGTACAATACATATTTTATATACATACCACCCACTTCAGTAAAAGAAGTCGCATTATTAATCTAATGCGACTTTTACATCACAGTGAGAAATTTTCTCATTATGTGTGTATGTATAAAAACGCACAACACTTCACTTTTTGGGAATGTTTGGTAAACAGGTACAAAGTGAGCTGAAATCATAATTCAGCACCGTTGATCTCCATTTTGCCATCTATCAAACAAGATCATCGATTCCAATCATGGTCAAGCTGGTCAAATGGTTTGATTCTCACTCAATCTCTCTCCCCTCAATGCCAAAACATCATTCACTTTTTGACCTACACCCTTCATACCAAGCAGACTCATGCAATTTCTCAATTTGATTCATGTTTCAATTACTTTGTAGCTTTGTTGTAAATATCAACTGTTAATATTATTGATTGCATTAAAAAAACATCTTTAAAATTTCCTAATTCAAATCAGATCAACAATATGTGATAAGCGAGAGACAGATATGTCTTAGGAAGCAAAGAACAAGTCCAACACTGAAATGATTGGATGCCATGTAGTCAAGGTAAAAGAGATGATTTGTGTTTAAAGGCAAGCACAAGAGTTAATATTGATTGAGGAATGTTGATGTCAAGCTGAATGCAAATGATGATCATTGAGGTTGACAAAAGGCAGGCCACATCGAGATTGAAAAAGTGATGTCAAGATCAAGGTTGTTCCGAGGATTGAATATTTAAAGATAAAGGAATTTGAGGGATGAGAAGTCAATTTGATTGGTGGCACTGCCACTGGTAATGAAGGATGAAGTTGGGTGAAGCACGAAAAAAATGAATTGATACTTTGAGATGAAAGCTATCCAAAGGACACCAGTTGAAGATTCGTCAAAAAAATGTCAGATGGTTGGGATGCATATCATTGATTTTTAAGTATATATGCAAAAATAGGTATATGTCTTGGAGAGTACTCTGGTTTACCAAATTGGTTTTCAGGGTCATAGATACATCCAAAATTGGATATGTTTTTTTGGTGAGGCGCAGTCAGTTGCATGCGTCACATATGTGATACCAAAGTGGGTGTACAGGAGCTATCTGATATACATACAATACAATACAATATAATATAATACAACACAAGACAAGACAAGACAAGACAAGACAAGACAAGACAAGACAAGACAAGACAAGACAAGACAAGACAAGACAAGACAAGGTACTGTATGTACTGTATGTGTTGTATGTTTGGTAGGTATTGTATGTACATATGTTTTGTATGTCTGGTCATTGTATGTACTGTATGTACTGTTTGCACTGTATGTACTGTATGCTTTGAGTGTTTGGTAGGTATTAGGGCTGCGACCCGCCCCGGCCGACTCTGCCCAAGCCATCTCAGAGCGCTCACAGTACGCGCCCCGGGGCCGCCAAATCTAAGGTGCTGATGATCACAAGCGCACCCTGAGGGTGCCTCGGGCGGGTTGGGCACCGGGGCTGCTGATCATTTTCCTTCAAAGAATCCCACAGTAAGTCACTCTTTCACAATTTTGTTGAATGAAATAATGACTCTCTGAGTGGTTTTTGTGGCTCAAAACAGCCCCTGGCCCTGCCTGGCCCTGATCCATTTTGGAAAACATTCGGGCTTGACCGAGGCCGGGCAGCGCCCTGGGGCCGGCCCTGAAAGTTCAGGGCAAGGTCACAGCCCTAGTAGGTATTGTATGTACTGTATGTAATATATGTAATGCATGTGCTGTATTGTAAGTTTTGTATGTCTGGTGGGTATTAGGGGGTTTCAAGTTAGATTTTTTTACATATTTTTATGCTACAACAACTTGCCCGTTGTTATAAAATATGCGTCAATTTTTTACAGCGGGACACCATACAATGTTTTACAAAGATTTCTTTTACAAATAACTTGTCCAAATTTATAAAAATTACGCAAAATAAAATCAAACTTGAAACCCCCTATTGTATGTACTGTGGTTTTTGTGTGTCTGGTAGGTATTATATGTACTGTATGTACTGTCTACACTGTGTGTAAGGTGCATACTGTACTGTATGCTTTGTACGTCTGGTAGGTGTATTGTATGTATTGTAAATTTCTTGAAAATGCTTCAAGCTCACTTTTCAGTTCAAATCTTTGTCTTGGATTGTCTTGGATTCTATTGTACCATATTGTCTTGTTTTGGATGGTACTGCATGTACTGAATGTTCTTTATGTTTTGTGTGTCTGGTAGGTATTATGTGTGCTGTATGTACCACATGCACTGTGTGTAAGGCCACTACTGTACTGTATATTTTATTTGTCTGGTAGGTATTATATGTACTGTATGTACTGTATGCACTGTGTCTCAGGCCCACACTGTACTGTATGTTTTGTATGTCTGGGAGGTATTTGATGTAATGTATGTTTTGTATACATTGTAAATTCATTGAAAATGCTTCAAGCTCACTTTTCACACCGCGGGAATCATTATGTGTGAAACCGGATTGAGCAAAGCCGCGGTGTCTGGGTCCACGACTTCCTTCAATCACAGGTCTCGTTTGCCATAGGTTTGCAAGCTCGTCTTGAGCTGCCCTCTACATAGTCATCCACTCAGGCTGTAGTATGGACTAATGGAGGTACCATATGACTAGACTCTTGTAACATATACATAATAAAGCTCATGACTCATACATGATCTTGAGTGGTCTGAGTATATTGAAAGGAAAAACATACATAACAGAAGGATAAAGGAAGGTATAATGATCAGCTTCATTAAATATGTACATACAATATCTGACCCGCTCCGCTACGCACCGATATAACTAACAAGATTTCGAGCGTTGTGGTTTACCGCAATAGCTTAATCGCAAACGCTATGCAATATGTAATCTACCGCTATTGTAAGTTCCTTGCGTTGCGGGATATCGCAACGCAACGCACCGCTCAAAAAGTTTTGGGACTCTCATAGTGGTCAGATTGCTCACAAAGGGAAAATATGTGCAATAGTAAGTTAAATTGAGCAAAAATTGACTAAACGAGTGTATAGAAAGAAAACAATAGTAAAAAAGATTGTAAAACAAAAAAAAAGATTCAAAAAAAGTAACTAAACGAGTGTATAGAAAGAAAACAATAGTAAAAAAGAATGTAAAACATAAAGAAAGATTCAAAAAAATCGACTAAATGAGTGTAAAAACAAAACAACAGTAAAAACGACTGTAAAACAAAAAAAAGATTCAAGATAACTGAAAAAAAAGCCACGAAACAAAAATGTGAAAAAGAGTAAAAACAACTTTCAAAGTTGACTAACACTAACATAGGAGTGAATAGAAAATAAACAATTGTAAAAATTGTGTAAAAAGGGCTGAGAGAAAAAAAGAAAAAGGAAACTTCAAAGACGAGTGTATATAAGAAAAGTTAAGAAACAGGAAAAAAAGAGAAAAGGTAACATTAAAGACGAGTGTATAAGAGATTGAGAGACAAGATCAGTTTTACTTTGCTGACTCTTTGCCTTTTCCGTTTGATTCCTTGTCCTTTCCCTTTGATGACTCTTTGCTAAAGGCATGAACATAAGCTAACGCTTCAGCAAATTTCCCGTTGTCTGTGCGTTCCGCTTTCAACCATTCCCGAAGACCCACCAGTCTGGTGATTGAAGATGGTGTTAATGCTCCTCGGGCTGGTGTGGCAATGTCAGCTGCGGAGGAGAATGTACGTTCCACTGTGCAAGTTGAGGCTGAAACCGACAGATAATCACGAGCAAGGGAGGCTAGGACCGGGTATTTAGAAGCATGAGCCTGGGCAGAATGAAAGAACGAGATTAGTGTGTGAATACCTAGATGGATAGGAGAGAAGTCAAGAAACACAAAAACTCACCTTCCACCAACTCAGAGGAGTTTGACCGGCAGCAACTGCGTCATGCCCATCTAGATATCTTTGTAACTCGCCCTCTCGTGCCTTGGTGCCGTCTGCAGAGGATTGAGTAGCAATGAAAAGATCATACCCATATGAAACCGCCTCCGTGGGTTGGGAAGAGAGAACCAAAGGTGAAGACGGTGGGGTTATGGGCCAAAGCTGTAATGTCGCATCAAAATGTTTCTTGATGATTGATTTGGCCTCTTCAAAGTAATTGGAGTAATGAAGTTCGAAAACCTTAAGACGAAGGTGAGGATTAAGGACAGTGGCAACCACAACTGTCTCGCACTCTATCGCTTCATTTTGATATTGGCGGAGTTTGGGTAACATCTGGCTGATCATGTTGGTAATTGATTCAAATTCGGTTGAAGCTTCAAGTGCTTCAAGCTGAGAAATGATTCGATGATACTCTGCTAGTAATATACAGCCTGAGGCGAAATCTCCTTCCATGCGTTTGGTAGAAACCCAAAAGATCTGCCAAGAAATAAAATTGAAGTCAGCTGAGAATTCAACAGAAAAACGAAAGCAGACATCTTACCTCTAAAGCCTGATTCAAAGTCTCAAGAGCATCCCATTCTTCAGGTGAGATTGAGATGCCTTGATAGTAGCGTGTCTTACGATCGGCAGTCAGGATAGCATCAGCCACCTAAGACATTCAAAAGAAAACCATTAGCCTCTTGACAAGAGAAATAAGAAAGTCAAGTACTCACATCGCGGGCTGAGCACAGTCGACTTGATACATCCAAATTGATATTCCACCTTAAACCCCAGCCAGGAATAGGCTGAGGTCCATGATACCCAAGCTGAGCCGACTTCCCTCTAAACTCACCTCGACGTGCCCCACTTCGACATAACAAGCTATTAAACTTTTTGGCCTGAGTGAATTCCAAGTCGTGTGCAAGCCAGGAATAATTCAAAGTCAGTTGTGTAAGAGAGACAAAGATAAACAACAAGAGAAACATAAGGAAAAAAGCAATCAAACCTTCACGAGGTGTAGGTGTTGCCATAGACATCACCCTCAGATTCAACTTCATCCTCTTCATCAGAGCAACTAATTCTGCGTTGATACGCTTGAGGCAACACCACCGGCGCTCCGCCCGAGATAGCGGCAGCGGAGCGATAGCGGAGCGCGCAACCCGCCCGTGCTATGAGTCTGGCCGGATAGCGGGTCCTGACCACCGCTACAGCTATGGCCCTGCCCCCCATAAAGATAGCGGTTTTTGCATCCGCACTCTATAGCGCAATTCCGCAGTGCTATGCGGTGCCACAGCGCCCACAAGCGCTTAGCGCCATGGTGACCCAGGTCCCATAGCAAACCATAGAGCGCAGGGAGTCCCAACTGCCATCATTGTTTGTTCTTTGATCGATTTGTCAAGACTTCAAGGCCCATACTCAATCTACTGGTTCTGATTGGCCAATTGTGTCCAGCAACTTACATCTACACCTTTTGGAACAAAACCTGAAGCTGTTTTGATTTGTTTACTCGAGTTTGTACATTCAAGTCTTAATCCAGATTCCAAATCAATTGATCCATCAACGATTAAATTATTTTTCTTAGCTACTAGTTTTAAACCATTGAATACCTTTTGTCTTGTTTATGCCAAGGTGCTTTAGTTGGTCAACCGATTCAACCTACTTCAATGATTTCTAATGGACAAATTGAATCAATTGATTGATAGGTAGATTTGAAGATACTCAAAACTTGATCAAGATCATTAGAAAAAAGATTAGCAAGTAATCAATCAGATTCATTACGAGCTGATACTGAATTGATCTTAGGAAAAGTAGCATTCCAATTAAACCAATGTTCAAATCATCTGGATAGATCGTTATAATCGTAAATGTCACAAATGATGAGTTTGATTCAAACATCATATCAAATTAAAGAATCGATCGAAAAAAATCGAGAAAGAGATTGATAAGAAAATATAAATTCAAGAAGACAAAAAAAGTTGGATTTGGGATTTGGTTTAAAAGCTTGCTAACTTGAAAGATGGTCAAAAGAAACTGATCTATAATGGTCCTCGTCGTCACCATTACCTGATTCAAATTGAATGATCGGAATCGGCATTGAGATGTCGTTTGGGTTTGACGGCTTCACTTTGGATGTCTTGATTCCGAGAGCCTTGAGTCCTTCCTTAACAACAAGCCCTAACTTATGGGCATAACAACGAATGTGATTAGCTTCAGCGTCCCAATTGACCGGATCCTCTGCCCCAGACAAGACAGATGCAAGTTCGATGGCCATCGTGTTGTTGTTTGAACCAGAATCCGTGGTTTGAGCTAATAAGTAAAATTTTAAGCAAACAGATGTCAGTATGGTAATACAACGATAACAAATGATAAAGGTGAAATAGATAAACAAAAAAAACTCATCTGCTTGTGAAGGCCATGCTTGATAAGATAGTGAGCCACTGGTTGAGCCAAAAGTACACCGTAATGGTTCCACGCTACCAGTTTGAGCGTAAGATGAGTGGTCTTATAGTTCCACTGCTTGTCGACAAAATTAGCTGAGACCCCGATGAAAGCATACTTGCTTCCTTTTGTCGTCCACACATTGTGGATCAAACAGAACCGAGAGCCATTATCCTGGAAGAAAGCGAGTTAATTATATAAATGAGAATGTGAGAATGATGTAAAGAAATGAAATACTTACCTTGATTTCGTCAATAACTGAAGCACTAAGACCTGCATACAATTCTTTAGACATGGACGCTGCCCACTTAGGAGTTCTCAAGGTAGCTTGTCGATTAGCTAGCTTAAAGGCACCACGGAGGATTTGATCTTCAAATCGTGCAAAAGCAAGAGCGTGGCGTAAGATCCAAATCACCATGACGTGGTTGAGGAGATCGAGACTGAATGTTGCTCGAGAGAGAAAATTGTCGAGAGTGCCGAGTTTACCAGTGACAGTAGGAGCAAGATCAGCTTGCTGTTGCTTCCAAGTGCGAGGTAAGACTGCTCCTGCTTCAATAGCCAGGTGGCGTTTTGGACAAGATGGTCGATCCTTTGCGCCGTCACAATGACCGTACAGGTTGTAGTTACTGTTCTTGCCACGTACGAACATACCATTGCACCACTTGCATCGAAATCCACGGGGGTCTGGTCCAGTCTGACGTGGAATGGGGGATATGAGAAGAATTGAAAAAATCAAGACAAAAAAAGGAAACACATACCTCTTTCTTGACATGGATTGGAGAGTGATAATACTCAAAGAGTTGGCCCACTCGAGCACACTGTGCTCGATGTGTCTCAGAAACGGAAACAATTTCGACATCAGAGCTTTGGACCAAATTGATGCATTCTGGTACTTCGACATCCTAAGAGTCCAGGAGAAAAAGAAATGATTAAATGAGTCAGAGAAAGGTTGAAACAATAAAAATAAAATTGAAATATTGACTGACCTCAACAGGAAGGTGCTTGCGCTTCTTAGCGGGTACTGTAGTCTTCGATTGGACCTTATTCTTTGACTCACGTTTACCACTCGATTGAACCTTCTTCAAGACCACAGATTTCTTAGACTTAGAAGACTTGCTGTATCGGGGTTGAGCTTGAACAAGGATTGAGTCATCCGAAATGTCAGATTCATCTGATTGATCAGTATCAGACTCCTCCTCCAGTATTGATGACATCTTATCGGGAGTTGATCCAGGGGACTGAGAGTTGTTGGCAGGACGAGTTACAGCACGGCGAGAATCTGGAGATTGAAAAACAAAGCCGGGGGATGGGACAGCCAAAGTCTCACGACGACGAAGATTACGAGAAGCGGTAGGGGTAGGTGATCCCAAATCGATTTGGGAAGCAGTGGTGGGTTGTAAAGACATGTGTGATTGGATTTTTTGGGTAAGGTAACAATGATCAAACTAAATGCAGCATGATATAATGAATCAATAAAAAGATTAGTATATATAGCAAGACACCACAAACGAAGACGAAGTGGATGAAGAAAAAGAATAGATACTCACCTCTTTGCCAGGGTATATAAGCTCTAGCTGAGGGTTGGTCCAAGCGATTGCGTCAGGCAGTAATGGGGTCCTCCGATTCAGTGATATGCTCAATCTCCAGCCGAGTTCCATAGTTGAATCGTTGGCTAGAAAATTCCTTGAAGTTAGCCAATGACACGTGGAAATGGAAGATAAGTGAAAGAACTGACCTGAAACACTTGGTTGTTGTTTGTTTAGTACGAATGTGATGATATGATACAAAGACGTGAGGAAAGGAAGGTGAAAGGAAGCATCAATGGAGGTTTATGTAAATATGATCCAATACATATTTTACATAACGATATGTACGATATGTACCACTAGTTACAAGGATACCGCCGCTATCTCACGTACGTGCGCTGCGGCGCTATGACCACTGACCGGGGCTCACTGCGATGGCGGTGCGCCCCGACCGCTCAACCAAATGACCCATAGCTCTAGCGGAGCGGCCGCCATGATACCGCACCGCCACCGCAAGCTCGAGTGGGGCGGGTCAGATATTGGTACATATGCGCTGTTGTAGTTGACATACTGCAGCTCAGGCGGACAACTCGAGGGCAGCTCGATGCAAGCTGGCAAACCTAGAGCAAACCTATGGCAAACCAGATCCGCAATTGAAGAAAGTGGCGGACCCGGACACTGCAGCTTTGCTCAATTGGGTTTCACACTTAATGATTCCCGCGGTGTGACTTTTGAAGAATAACTTGTTCCTTGAACAGGGTTTTGAAAACAGGAAAACCTTCTCAGCTTTTATTTTTAAATATGTAAAAACAGTTGTGTTGAATGTGAAATACGGGTGGGGATACTTTTGAAGTGGGATGTGATTTGAGAGTTGAGGCATATCTCTATCGGAGAAAGATGGATTACGCTCGGTGAAATAAATTGTTGGGTCGGTGGGGATATGAATTGACTCGGAAATGAGGGATAAAAGCTTGGATGGTAGCAGGATCAGGTCGGATGAAACTGGTCCTTCCGAGCCAAGTGACCATGTGATTTGACTTAGTGTTGAATTAACTCACCTTGTTACTTCGGAGGTTAAAATACTCCGTCATTCAATGGCTCGGTGGTATTGGGTCGGATGAGGTAAATACAGTCGGTGAAGTGTCGGTTGGATTAAATCGGATGGTATTTTGGTGGCAAAATTAGTCGGTTCATCGTCGGATCCTTAAAAGCGGATGATTATGTCACTTGGATGGAATCAGTGAAGGGTTGGTTGGATTCACTCGGATAATATTTTGGTGGTGAAATTGGTCGGCTTATTGTTGGATTGGTAAAATCGGACAATTATATCACTTGGATAAACTTGATGGTGTGTTGGATGATATAACTTGGATGATGACTTGGATACAATATCCAAGGACTCCTCGGATATTTGTATCCGAGCCAAGTATGTTGGCAGTGCTGAGCTCCGGTTTGTTCTTCTTGTGTTGTTGGGTGTCTTGTATCCTGACCAAGAAGAAACTTTTAGATTGATATGGGAATAAAACACAACACAAGTAGTTTAAGTTGTTGATGAAGGCAATGGAGGGGTTTAAAATGTATTGGTTCATTATCAATATACTCATTTCAAAATATTGTTACCGAACACTCGAATGGTCATCAAAGGTCAACAACAGTCTTCGTGATCTTTTGATGACCATTTTGGTCAAGTGTTTGGTAAACTTACAAGACCAAAAAACAGGTTTTCAACATATTCAATATATTCAATATATCCAATATATTCAATATATTCAATATATTCAATATATTCAATATATTCAATATATTCAATATATTCAATATGTTCAATATATTCAATATATCCAATATATTCAATATATCCAATGTATCCAATATATATCCAATGTATCCAATATATTCAACATATTCAACATATTCAATATATTCAATATATCCAATATACCCAATATACCCAATATAATCAATATATCCAATATATTCTATATATTCAATATATTCAATATATCCAATATATTCAATATACCCAATATAATCAATATATCCAATATATTCAATATATCCAATATATTCTATATATTCAATATATCCAATATATTCAATATACCCAATATAATCAATATATCCAATATATTCTATATATTCAATATATTCAATATATTCAATATATTCAATATATCCAATATATTCAATATATCCAATATATTCAATATATCCAATATAATCAATATATCCAATATATTCAATATATCCAATATATTCTATATATTCAATATATTCAATATATTCAATATATCCAATATATACCACCCCCTTTGGTAACACAAATGTGACATGTGCAACCAAATGCGCATCACCAAAAATGCGCAGTGATATTTGGTCGCACATGTGACCCAAAATTGTCATTTGGTAAACCCGAGTGTGACAAAAGGCACACACGTATTTTTGCATATCTATGCAAAAAACATGCATATTCTTGAAAACAAAAAAAAGTTGTTTTTCTTTTTGATATATGCAACTTCAACAGTGTGCGACTTCTATTGCACTTGGTTCTACTCATCAAGGTGAGTTTTTTGACTTGTCTTCTTTTTATATCATCTCTTTCCCTCAACACTGACTTGACCATTACCCCTTTCTTTAATCTTCACACCAATCTCCACCCAACTCCCTTTGATTGCCTCACTTTGCTTTTTTCACTCGATTTCAACCTCATCAGCTTAAAACAACCCTCATTCCTTTACAAAATCAAGAACTTGATCAATCAAAACCAAATCATTATAAATTGAAATCAATTCATAATCAATTGAAATCAAATCATAATCAATTAATAAACAAAATCATTCAAATTATGATCTGATTCATTTGATTTGGAATCTTTCAATTTGAGAAATCATTAATTTATATCAAGACCAAGTCATATTCAATCAAAATCAAATCAAGATCATAGGGACAAAAACAGGTGCTGATATAAGACACTGATGTCCTGATAACATGGCGTCACTTTCAATCATCTCAGATACAAAAAATGAATTGTAATTTTAACTTTTGAATGACTCCTCCAAATTGATTTATGATTGTATTCTTCAAAATTTCTCATCCTATACACAGTCTTCCATCCTTTAAATCAAGAACCACATTATCATTCTTGGTATCGATTACCTCTTCTATCTGAAAAGACTTCTTGTAGAAGTCTTCTCTCTCTTGCAATGTGATTTGGTTGAAAGTGTTTGTGTGTTTTTTTGCATATGATAGACATTTGAATTTGACAACCTCTCACTGCAAATATAATGTATTTTTCTGCATCAATTCTGCATTTTTCTGCATTAATTCTGCATTATTAATCATTTTGTGCATTAATGTCAATCATTTTTCACCTTGGAAAAATACATTATTTTTGCAGTGTCTATGAGGATGGGAAGGACAATTAGTGAGACAAAGGGGAAGGAGAAGAATCAAGTGATTTGTTCTTGATTCACTCAAAGATATCGAATGATCAAGTCAAATGACACACATACTGCTTTTACCAAATAAATTTCTCACTGTGATACAAAAGTTGCATATGTAAGTTTATGCGACTTCTGTTACCAAAGGGGGTGTACAATATACACTATATTCAATGTGTCAGCCAGGGCATAAGTACAGACGTACCTATCTCCTGGCTAACATAACTAAGTTACACAAATAAGGACTTTTTCTATATGTTACACACATTTCTATTATCTCAACAATATATCCTTTTGAGTAGTCTGTTTCAAACTATAATCTTTCTTTCTTCTTTTCATTTACATTTCTCTAAATTTCCTTTTCTCATTAAACATTACTAAAGGGTCAAATCATGACGTAAAGTTTACACTCGAGTTAGTAATGTTAAAATCTCATGAGGAGAAGAGAAATCCTAGTTTAGACGGAAGGTTGAAGTGATGACCCAACCTAATGTCAAAACCCTCAAAACCATAACGGATTGAGCGCCTGGGAAACACTCATCCAAAGGTCTGGGACTATCCAATCCAAGTGAAGGACTAATAGAACTACATTTGTTTTAAAGCTTGTGTGCGCGGAATAACCTTATAGGATTGGGAATCATCTGTTAACTCCGTGCGCTAGGAATTCCGCTCTATTATGAAATCATATGTTGAAGTTCTTTTGTAATGCGTGCTGCTGTTCAGTTAAGGGTATATAAAACCTCTTGTTTTCTGTTTTGTTCTATTCTTTTTTTCTTCAATTTATAATCAATCATTTTCTTTGTTACTCAACTCAGTTTCTAACTATACAGTGTTCCAATCAACAAACCTTTGCTCTTTAATTCAACCTTTAAATGCCTTAGGTTAGTATTGCTCCGCTTTGATTAAAATCTCTGTTGATGTCATTGTCTTGTTATGTGTCTATTAAAGACCTAAGTAGTGTTGATTTGCAGTTCAATAAGCTCACTTATTGACACAATGTATACAATGTATACAATATATACAATTAGCAAAATTGTTGAAAGATTATTTGAAAATGAGATTTTCCCAGTTTGAAACTTTAGTACAGGTTGGCCAGAAGATCTCTTCCTCCCAACTTTATTGTGACAGCACAGAAGGAATGTTTCTTCTGCCCAAATGAGTGTAAGCCCAGCGGCAATTAGCAAAATCCATACAATATATACAATATATCCCATATATTGCATATATGCAGTATATCTAAGGGCCCATTTGGACAATGCAAGCAGATACAATGTGGCCAAATTTCACACCAAAGAAGTTACATACGGCCACATTGTATCTTGGTCCAAACTTGACCAGATATTTAACCAGATATTCAAAATCTGATTGGTGTTTGGTTTGAATATCTGACTTCAGTATCTGATGGAGAATATCAAGATAATTGTCCATATTGAGATACAG